AACGATCGCAATCACCTCACTAAGTATATAGATTGAATATAATATCAATTAGAGATTTAGAATGAATTAATTACATGAACAAGGAGATATGTAATATTATATTTTTATTTCAACTGTTTTTTTTTTTTTATCTATAATTAATTTTGTCAATGTTTTATTTCTATTTTCCTTGCCTAAAAATCTCAATTTAATTATGTAGATTTATGGATAATTAATGTGAAACATATTAACACTATGGAATAGTAAAACTACCGATCAAATTGAAATAAATTATGTTTATGCTTTGAACCTGCTTTTAACCATAAGTCAAACGTTTTTCTTTTCACAAAGCATGTTTGTTGAGTTTACTACACAAGATTAGAATTTCATAAATATAGTTACATGTTTAATTTATTGCATGTAAATAAAAAAATGTCAGATAAAAATTGGTTGGGAGATTATTATCGGAAAAAAAAAAAAGAAAAAAGAAGAAAGAAAAAAAGAAAAAGTTGATTTGCATTTTCATCATCTTCCACCTATATAATGTAAGAAGTAAATTCCGATTTGTTTGATGCTACACCCGGTGAAATATACCGGATGATTATTAACCGTTGATCTGCACACAATCACACATACACTCGTGTATGCATGCTTAGTGGAAAATTATTTGACCACATCAATGATTAATAATTATCCGGTATATTTCACCAGGTGTAGTATCTCAAAGATAGTAAATTTCCAATTTAGCGAGTGTTAATATTACGTTTATATCCGGAACACTAACTTAATTATAATCGGCCATCGCAATAAATTACAATTCTAATAAGCACAACTAGTGGCGGAGCCAGCATAGGGGCAGAAGAGGCCATATGGCCTCTAACAATTCTCGAATTCTATTTTTTTATGTAGAGATTTAAAAAAAATCGTATATAATTAACATTTTATCGGCCTTATAAAACATTTTAATGCATTAGGTCCTCGAGAACTTAATTTTTTTCCACTAGTGTGCATAACAATGTTTTTACGTCTATGAGAATTAATTATAAATAAAATATTTAGCACAAGCTCTGATAATGCATACCTATATATATGGTGTACATAGATTGTATTTATATCTTATATTCATGCCAATAACATGTAATATGATGAAATTGATTCTAATAATCTTTTATCCACCGCCCTAATTATCAAAGCCATTTTTCAATTGAATTCAACAATACCATTTCATAACATAGGATGAACAAATCTATGTATGCAAATCAAAGTAGAAGAAATAAAATCAAATCATAGAACTAGCATATATAAGTATAACTATAGATTCAATCCAACAACTCCTATATATATAATGTTTCAATGAAATTTTAGCTCAAATAATTATTTACTCCTGTAAAACATAAGAAAAACTATAATATATGATTAGACACTATAATTTGACTAGTAACAATTATTTTCATATGATTAGGCAAAAAATATTGTCGTTGTGCTAGTTGTCACAACTCTATATATATATAGTAACAATAAAAAAGAATTAAGTCACAACAAAAATAAATATTAATGACAATTTTCAACATTAATTATCGCATTCGGATGTCACTTCTGCCATTTTTTATTTGTAGTGAGTTAAATTTAAGAAAAGAACAATACATAAAAATAATAAACTAGTAATCGAATAAACGAACAAACATAATCAACATATATAGAGGAAGAATGCGAAGAATTTGGATCCAGTCTTCGTAAATCTCCCTTTTGCAAGTGTTTGTTATCTTCTTGTTATGATGCTTCATAAAATTCAAGTAATATTTTTATACTTTGTACGTAATAGTAAAATTTTCAATTACTTTTTAAAGTGGTGGATGAACTACTTAGTCAACATATTTTGACTTTCTTAAACCTAAATTAGATTATTCTATTATTAATAATGGATTAGTATTTGATTATTTATTATATATGGTTAAGGTGGTGTTAGCAAAAGCTTATTTACAAGCAGAAGTTAGTGATTGTGAGTTAAGTTGGAATTAAGTGATTATTTTTAAAAGTTGGGTGTGTTTGCAAATTAACTAGAAAATTAACTAAAATAGAAAACGCAGGTACATAGGTGCTTTTAAAATTATAGCCTAAAGCAACTTATTTTAAGAGAAGCAAAAGCAAAAGTTTGTTTTGCAAACACCTAAAAGCAAAAGTTATTTCAATATCTCTTGTAGAGTCTGTTGTATTAACTCATCTCGAGTACATAACTTTTAAAACCTATTAGTTTGTGTTCAAAGCTAGACTTGATTGTACGAAGGATCTGTGTAAGATACATTCATAATAGGGAAGATCATTTACATTTTTTTTCTTTTCCTTTTTCCTTATAATATTGTTTATATAAGTATATTTCACATTTATGAAGGGAGTTCGCAAGTATTTACTTGTGGATATTAAATTCGATGTTTTACGATTAATCCGTTGTATGTTACTTCGCATAAATTCTTTATTTTAATTATTTACTAAGAACTCGGGGCTATTGATTATTCCTCTTTTTATATATCATTTATTTATCTTCTATGGTCTTACAAAACGACAATTACTTAATACGTTCATATGGCCGGAGAAGCTAAGGGGTCAACAAAACAAGTTTTACTACAATTACTTGAAATGCGTTTGGATAACAACCTTTTCCGGTTGGGTATGACTTCGACTACCATAGACATATTTTAGTGAATTGGCGTATAGTAGATATACCAAGTTATCGCTACAAACCCCGAGATATTATCTCGGCGAAGGAAGAACAAAAATCCATGTATTACTATGACTTTGTACTTTTTTATCAATTTTTTTTTCTAAATTGTGTAAGTTTAAAAAATTATTTCTTATAAGATGCCTACGTATTTTTCATTTTTATAAATTTTCTAAATTCTTTTAATTATTTTTTTCAATTTTGTTTTCTTACATTTCTTGCAATCAATACATTTTTGTTTGTATTTGACTATTTTCTATGTTCTATTTCAACATGAACATTTTCTGTTGAATTTAACTTGACCTTATTCTGAAATGAATTTGTTTAGTGGCAAACCGAACACATCCAACTCAAAAATAATTGTCATGAAATTTAAATACAGTAGAATCTCGATATATTAATACTCCATAGATTAATAATCTCGTTTAAATAATAATTTCTTTAAGTCCCGACTCGGTGAAAACCTACAAAATTATTAATTCGATAATTAAATATTTCGCTAAATTAATAGAATTCTGTTAATCCGACTGTATTAATTTGTAGACATTTAACTGTAATCTCGTTTTTCCAATATATATAAAGCATTCGGTTATTAACATATACTAAATAATCTCAAATTCAATTGCTAATAAATATTTGATCTAGATACCGTGGAATCTAAGTTGTTACTAACCATATCTAATTCTACACATTTTATTTTATTTTGAAACTTTTCAAGTATTTATTTAATTATTTATTTATAAAAGTAAATGATATTTCAATTTTACCGTAGAAACCTCATCCAAACAGAATTCCAAATCACAACAACTCCCTCTATCAGATAACTATCAAAGAGATTCAAACTAGTTCAAATACATCTCTCTCTCCCTAACTCTCTCTCTCTCTCTCTCTCTCTCTCTCTCTCTCTCTCTCTCTCTCTCTCTCTCATTCTCTCTCTATAAACCCTAATCTGACTATTTTCAACTCCACCACGACTCTTAACTACTTAACCCTCAGCTGCATATACAACAACGGACCAGGAGCAATACCGAACACTGCAGCAAGCAGCGTGCCTGCCGTCTGGGGAGAAACTTGCGCCCCTTT